TCCTCTTTTTGCTGAGGAAGATTGGCCCTGAACTGACATCTGTGCCCATGTTCCTCTATTTTATATGTGGGATGCCTGCCAGCATACCTTGATAAGTGGTGCGTCCCCTGGCCATGGAAGCAGAGAGTGCAAACTTAACTACGATGCCACCAGTCTGGCCCCTTTACTTGTTGTATTTTATGCATACACATGAGTAGTGTCCCTCAGAGATTGGGAGATTGGGAGTTGAAAATATTCAGCTTGTAGGTACAGTCTTTTCTGAAGGTTCTGTGAGTGAATCATAAGTCTATACAAAAGTAAACATATGATGAACATAGTTTGAAAAACAAAACCCATATGATGTTTCCCACCTATTCTTTTTTTTGTGTGTGTGTGAGAAAGGTTGGTCCTGAGCTAACATCTATTGCCAACCTTCCTCTTTTTGCTTGTGGAAGATTGTCATTGAGCTAACATCTGTGTCAATCTTCCTCTATTTTATGTAGGATGCCGCCACAGTGTAGCTTGACAAGCTGTGCTAGGTCCACACCCAGGATGTGAACCTGCAAACCCCATGCCGCCTAAACTGAGCACACAAACTTTACCACTACGCCACCTGGCAGCATCCCCCAACCGTGCCACCTGCTCTTTTTTCAGGCTGGTCCTCAAAGGATGCCAATCAATATCTTTTCTTCAAATAACTCAAGTAACATTGTTGGGTTAACTTTATAGTTTGGCTTCAGGTCACTTTTCCATCTCGGAAGAAAAGCAAATCCAGGAGACTTCTCAGCATGGATCATGACCTATCACCACACCTGAGAGAATTAAGAGTATTGATTCTCTTGTTCTGAAGCCCTCTCTCAGGAAAAGGATGATAGTATCCTCTTCCTATGTTGTCATTTATGTGCCCCCTTCCCATCTTACACAGTTTCTTTCTGTCCATTTTTTACATGTCTTAACTCAGACTTGGCCTTGCCAGGTGAGAGTTGTGGATTCAGCCACACTGCCCACTCACAGGCAAGTAGCAAAAATAGCCTTTCTAGAATGTTCCTTTTGTCCATTCCCAGGAGGGAGTGCCATTGGAAAGGCAAAGGTTATGGGACTATCGTTACCATAGGCTGTGGACCAGTACTTCCAGTCAATCGCAGGTGAGCCACATAATGTGGAATTTTCACTCAGGGCATTTGTTCCCTCGGGCATATTTACACTTTCAGAGAAATTGACATTATGGTGTCAAATATTTGCATGGGGATTTTTCCCTCTTCAAGGACACACAAGTGCAATCCTTGACCTGGGACAACTAGGTCCACTAAAATGAGGGAATGTTTTTGAGGTGAGAAAGTCAGATAGTGTGTGATTGTATCATTCTCCAACCTTCATTCTCATTTCCTTGACTCTCATCCTTTCATTCCCCCAAAAGAAAGTTTTTCAAAGATCTTCCTCCTGCATGAGCTCTCATATTCAGATAAAGTATGTATTTGCCCACGAGTCAGATCTCCTCTTCATACCTCTAACACAGTCTCCCCATTTTTAGTAAAGGAGCTTTGATTCCGGATTGGGAGTGGTAGGACTTATACTAAGTCCATACAATGTTAAACTTTTTACCCCATTTTGATATATTAACAGCAGTGACACGTCATCTTGGTCTATGAAGTGTAGTTGGTAGAATCAAACAGAAACACAATCTGTTGTTTCAAACCCTTGAGAGTATTGGCTTCAGTCAAAGGGTAATAAAGCTCGAAGTAGAAATCATGCTTATTCTAGTCAAAACCCATTTGAAGCCACCTGGAGTTATCGGTTAGGGTTCTACTAACCTACCTGCTAGCTCTTGCCCTTGAGAATCTTGCCTAAAGACTCTTAAAGCAATTCCTTTCCTCTTGGCCTTCTGGGCAGTGTTTTACCAAATGAGGAAGAAATGTGTCATCTTTCTAACACCGCTATGCTCTGATTTCATATACCAAGTAACTAGCTCCAGGGGCCAGAACAAGCCTCAATCCTTGCGTTCCAGACTGCTTTTGAGTCAGCAAGGTGGTTTTCCAAGTGGGCATCTACATGACCCATTTTGATTCTTCTTGAGAATTCCTACAGAGATTTCTAAAATTGTATTCCCCCCAGAAAGATATTCTTAATCATCCAGTTATTGAAGGCCCATTTGATTGGCCAAACAGCAAGGCAATTGAGCAATCCCATTAGTCTATTAACACCCAAACACTATTCTAGGGTGGGAGTACCAAGTTTCGGTATTCCCAAATATAGCGCCTTCTATTATGCCCATTGTGTGGATTTAGCCTTGCCTTCTTCAACCAAGGTTTTACCATTCTCAGGGTAAACGGTGGCTGGTTTCCAAACTGACTTACAATTTCAGTGAATGATCAGAACATCAGTCAGCTTTCTTTGCTATAGGAAAGAGAGAATCATGATGTTTAAGCATTCAGCAATCGGCGCTGGCCTTTTGAGGGATTTCATCATTGGCCCTAACTGCATAGCTACAACCTGTTCTTGAATACGATATTCTCCCTCCCTTCCCCTCCTCCAGAGCTGCCATCAAGTCTGCTCCTGTAAGTACCATTTCCATTTTATCAGGAAATTCTGCTGAGTTGCTCTGTCTTTATTGGAAGGTCTCTCTGATATTGCAGCTATTTGGGGGCTTAGAATTATTTGATGTCTCAGTGGCAGGATCTGTCCCCACCAGAGCCCAGTAACAATAGATCGACAATTGACTCCTGAAAGAATTATGCGTAGTTGCTGCATCTAGTGACTTACAATTCTAAAGTTCCAGCATTTTATGCTGAGATGCAATATTAGCAGAAACTCTAATTTGCATACACCCATTTGGTGATGCATCCAAAATGATTTTTATTTTAATTAAAGTTGATATATTCACTATGGATGGAAATCTGGCAATTCTGAAGGTTTTCATTTAGCATGACAAATTAAAATTGAGCGAAAGGTGAAACTGACGTATTTAACCTAGAATTCAGTAATGGCAAAGCCCTCTATTTTATATAATAAATGCATTCCGATTATGGGCTCGGGTGTAAGTGATGCCACAAGATGTCTTTTTCTTTCTTTCTCTCCAATCTGCAATTCCTTGGTAACTCTAATGCCTTCCGCTGCAGTAGCCCTGGGCCCTCCAAGTTGTGCTTTCAGCTTTTGGACACTGCCCTCCACAGCTTCAGGTTCTTTTATGGTTTTGTCCTTTCATAACAGTGCCCTTATATAAGGGCACTAAACCTTTACTAACATCCACCATTATTTGCTTCAGGGTTATATCACTTGAGGCTGGCTCATTACAGGTTATCATCTCATAAACCTGAAGTTGCTGTATCCACAATATTTCAAATGCTTCAGAAGGACTGTCTCATTTTGCAGTACGTGACAGAGTTGCAACTTTGACTCTCAACGCACAAACCCTCTGTGTTCCCACCTCCATCAATGTCAAAAGAGGTAACATTTGTGCATTTAAAATTCTGGGGAATTGTTTGGACTGAACATGGCAACCAAACAAAGATTAATACTCATCTAGAACAGTCTCCTCCATTCCGTTGTGTTTACCATCGATTATTTGCCGCTTGATCATTTAAGCAAAGAAATGAAGATAGCAAAGATTCATAGGCAACTGATGGTACTTTTCAGCCAAGTGGCCCAACCCCTGACCTGTCTGTTACCATATGGTATTTAGATAGTGCATTTAATCACGAAGAGTCGTAAGGAAATAGCCTCAGGAGGAAACATTCTATCTTTCCAAGTTCCCGGTAGACCTTTGGGCAAACAACGAGGCACTTTTGTTTGTTTGTTTCATACACCAGTCTCATTTTTTCTTGTTTTGTGTTTTATTATCTTTCCCTTCCCTGTCAGTGATTTCACTTTCATAAGACTGATTAGCAGAAACAGGAGTCTCCTATTTCTAGCATTTCCCCCCTCATTCAGCTTCTTGATTTCAATCCACTTCGCCAATGTTTTAGGGGTCAAAGCTGTATCAGCCAAAGTCTATGGCTAAGATTGGTCCCTGGGAATCTGCTTTAGAGCTTTGGCTACTTTAAACCAAGGGTAGGATGACAATTGTTTGGCATCAAAATCTCATAAAATCCTCAATACTCATTTTTTTCCCCAAATGCTTCTGATACATTGATTTGAGGGTCCAAAAGTCATTCCTTGTATTGCTCTGGACTGGCATTACCAGTCTAGGATCTAGGGTGTAGGGTCTTGGGTCTGGATTAAGGGACGTGAAGCTTAAATTCTAAGAATCTCCGTTCTTAATTAGCTAGCTCTTTCATTACATCAATCCTTATTTAATCTCTTTTGAAGAAAATATATATATTTGTAATTTTTAGAGCGTAGGAAGATAAATTGAGTCATATGAAATATCTTAAATTTCTTGTAATTTGGGATTCATCAAGTCCAAAAAATAGGAAAGTCATCCCAATTACATTCTGCTACTTGCCCATTTCATGTAGGGCATACAACAAAATTAGAAGAGTCCCTTGTCAATGAATCACTCACAATACAAATTGTTGAAAGAATTTTCAATATGGCAATAAAATAGAAAGAATAGTATCTCCTTGGTTTAGCCTAACATATTTGGATAAGTAGAGGAGAAAAGAATTGCTATATAGGAAACAAGAAGCTTCTTTGTACTAAGCCTGAGAATCAGTCATACTAATATTAGCACAACAAATGATTCTTCTCAACTGTCAAGAGAAACATGGCTTTGCAGCCAAATATTTTATTTCATTTTGGGGCCACAGGGCAGAGAAATGAGTTTTCTTTTCGGAGACATGAATTCTCACATTGCACTATCATCGATAGTCTTATATTTCTAGTTTATTCATTTATTCATTTTATTTGTTCCATTTTATCCTGTTTTCCCACTTCCCATTTCCATTTCCACTATAGGCAATCTTTCTAATGTGTTTGTTACGTAAATGTTTAATATTATATTTATATACCTTTTAAATATATGTTCTTTTAAGATGGATGTACTTGTTCTGTGTGCATGCATATTCAATTTACATAAATTATTGTGTTATAGCTGTATTGTGTGTATGGGGTTTCTTAAAACATTTTTTCTACCTATCACTTTATTTTTAAGATTTAGCAATATTTTGGGGGCATGGTTAATCCATAGTGTCTCTCTGCTGCTGGTCTTCCATAGCAGGCACTCACACCGCTGACAGTGACTTCCCCATTGATGAATACATAGAAGATGAACATCTTAGTATGTCATATCTCTGTGGGAGAATTTCTCTGGACTATTTATCCGCAACTGGGATTTCTGGGTCCTGAGATATACATATTCCTAATGTGAGTAAGTACTCTCAGATTGCACTGGCCTCGTTCCCATACCACTAGCACACAATTAAACTTGAAAACAACATATTAAGATTTTCAGAAATTGTTCCTGTGTGGCTGGAAAGAAAATGAGACCCAGCAATACTAGACAGAATGAATTTGGGTTTAGAATTCTATGACTTGATGATGATTTGTTGACAGTGCTTGATAAGGCTTCTGGACAATTCAGCATTGATTGAATATTTTGAGAGGCTGAAAGTTGTTGACTGCCTGAGGGGTAATGAGAAAACTACGACTTTTGAATTTCCTCTCTAGAATAAATAAATACATATAGGTTCTTGGAGAAAATTATAAAACACTGTGTACTTCCAATATACTACAGATTTAACTTTATTTTCAAATAGATTTAAACATCTGCTTGTATAGGAAATAGATATATAGCTTTTCACTCCAAAAATCAATTACACAATAGAACACTCCAGGCAAAAGAATATAAAATTATGTTGAATTTTAGTGAAAGTAAAAATTCTCAGAGATTTTATAAAGTACAGATTGCCTATATCATTTCCTAAATGAAGTATCTCATCTCCTCACATACAGGTTGTTTATCAGATCTGATTTACGTATTTAGTCATAAGGAATGTTTTTTCCATTATTCAAATATTCATTCATTAAAACGATATTTATGAAATGCCTACTACACAGTGTCTACTGTTCTAGGTGCTGGGAATTCATGTATGCCTGTTTCTTTTTATAAATAAGGAATATACATCCATAAATGCAGACAAAGATAAAGATATGTATAAAGAGATAGATATCTACAATGGATTGTGTTGAGTCCCCAAAACTATAACATAATGTTACATAACAATGAGTTAGTCAGGAATAAATCTGAAGGTATTGTGGAGAGGAAAGCGCAGACTTTTGTCCTCGGGGAGCATCAGCATTCCTCAACACCATTTTCATCCCTCAGCTGATTCTGTGGTGGAGGAGCCCCATGAGTCATTTCAGGTATCTTGAGCAAGAACAAAATGCATATCCAGTAGAAACTGGTGAATAAATATTCAATAATTTCTATAATTGTAATCACACTGGCCCCACAAAAGAGGCCCAGTTGACCGCCAACATCTGCTGTAATAAAGCCAATAAAAGAAATTGAATAAATCACGTTTTTTCACAAAAGCAAATTAAACACTACTAGAATTTAAATTATTTGAAGTTAATAAGTTAATCATAAATGTTATTATATAAAGATCAGTTAATTGTATTATTTTCAGTTGGGTTTAAACAAAGGAATAGCAATTAATAATAGCTTGAAATAATATTCATATAAATCATCTCAAAAAGGAGAGAGAAAAAGCAAACATAAAATCTGTTTTCAAAAGTATAACTCAAAGTCTTTGGAGGCTATTAAATCTAGGAAAATTTATTAAACATCCTTAATAACTACAAATTCATTTTCATGTGTTGAATGAAGAACAGAAATGCAGGATTCACACGGCATTATTGGGCGATGATGTTTCCCAGAAACATACATTTCCAAGCAGTTTGGGCCTTCAAGTGTCCAAACTATTTCTTTTTAAACACTTGTAACATTTCACTAAACTCAAATATATTAACACAGTACTGCCTTCTTCTGAAGAAAATTTTAAAATCGACATATGTCTTTATTGTTTGTGCTTTTTTTATTGTGGTAAAATGTATACAACATAAAATTTACTTAACCATTTGTAAGTGTACAATTCTGTGGCATTAAACATATTTGCATTGTTGTACAATCATCACCACCATCCATCTCGGGAACTTTCTCATATTCCCCAACTGAAACTCTGTGCCCATTAAGCAATAATTCCCCACCGCCCCCTCCCCTTAACCCCTGGCGTCACCATCCCACTTTTTGACTGTACGAATTTGACTACTCTAGCACTGCCTTGTGAAATAGATTACATTATTAATCTTTTTCTCATTGCCCCGGGCCATTCTTCGGATCACGCTATTTTTGTAAAGTGTGGTAATCAAGCATAGCTTTCCCAAGAACTTTGAGGAATTGGTATATTTCCTCCCTATTCAAGAACTCAGCTGCCAGCGTCTGACTGCTGTCTTTTTGCCTGAAACTGATACCCTCTTCTGTCTCCTACGTGTCTTCCTCTACGTGCAGTAAGATACAGAAAATGAGCAATTAAGTTTATTAAGGACTATAGGATGACAGAGTGTGAGCATACAGTGGTTATACCTTATATGCCAAATTTTGCTTGCTCAGGATCTTCTCTGCAGCCCACTCTGGGTGCAGTTGTGTGTGAAAGTCTGAGGTGGCTGACATTCCACCCAGATGTGGCATTGCCGAAACACCACACAATAATCACTTGCTGACGGGGGATGTCTGAGGGGAAAGCAAGATGCTGAGTGTGAGTATGGGATGATGAACACCAGCCTTTTCTTTGTGAAAGCCCATGTGAGGTTTCCTGGAGATGTGCCTTGGTAGTGAAAAAGTGTTAGATTTAAATGGCAGGCTAATGGCAGGCCCTGTTGATTTTTTTTTTTCTCCGTCGATAAGCTAAATCTTAAACATGAAAGGAAAAATAACCTAATAGGCAATTTTTTTAATATTGAGGAACAGAGAAAGAACACTTACCAAGTAATTCAGACACACTCACTGCTTTTTGCTGCTGGGTTATCTTATAGTTTAAGTCACTATAGTTTATTTCAATGTTCACAAGATTCTCCCTGGGGATAAAAACAGAGTTAAGCTAGCTTAAGATTGTCAGCACTATTTTTAATTCCTATTTGACAAAGTACAGTGATATCCTTTTTTGGTTCAGGTGTTTTTTAATGTTGAATTAGATACACCATTGGATTCAATACTAACCACAATAGCTTCATTTGGAGGGCACTGTTGTCATGTTGGTATTTAGAGAAAAGAATGTTTTCTCTGACCCAATAATTTTTTTATATCTCATTCCTAAGAAACTGGAGAAAGATGTTAAATGTAAATATCTACAGAGTAGATGCAAACATTTAAGTGTGTGTCTAGTTTTAATTCAAATCTTAGTCCTGTCCTTTGTTACGTATATGAGCCCGGAGAAACCACGCGGTTTTCCTGAGTCTTGGTTTCCTCCTCTGTTAGAGTTGGGATTTAAAAGTTGTGAGGAGGAGAAATTAAATAATGTATACAAAGGATTGCCGCAAAACCTGGCATATATTGGTGTTCAATAAATGGCAGTCATTAACTTTACATCATTAATATATTAGAACAGAGACTCTGTTTTCTTAATGTCTTCTAGAAATCTTTATATGTGACCTGAGCGGCCAAACAGTATTTTAAAATGATAGCTCTTTATATAGCCTTGGACACCCTCACACTCTCTATCTCCAGCCCAGTAGAGACTGTGAACTCCAATAATACATCCAATCGCCTCTTTGTATTTCTACTTGGATATTCAATAGGTATTTCAAACTGATATATTCTAATTCTAACTCTTGATATTTCTCCATTTTTAGTTTTATAACACTGCACAGCCAACCTATCAGGAAATATTTGTTATACCTTCAAAACATATCCAGAATCCAACCTCTCACCCCATTCACTGCTGCCACCTGTGCCTAAGATTCCACCATCTCTCACCTGGATTTTCCCAATGGCTTCCTGACTGGTCTTTCTGCTTCCTACTAAGGTACTTCACTTCAACAGATACACACTCTCTGTTCTTCACACAATCACTAAAAGAATACTTCTGCAACTTGCAAATCATATCACTCTTCTGCTAAAAACCCCGCGGTATACTCTAAGTAAAACTCCTCCATGGCCCTATAAGATTTCTGCCACCCACCTCTTCATTTCGACCTTCTTCAACTCATGCCCTGCCATTCTTGGCCATTGGTTACTCTTCTTCCTGACACACCAGCCTCCATTCTAGTCTATCCATACACAAGGCACACTGTTGGCTTAGAATCTTCCTCTGCATTTGATTTTCCCTCCTTCTGGAATGTTCTTCCTACATATACTATGGAGGCTAGTTCTTATATCTCTTTTAGGAAAGCAGTTTACAAAGTGTGGTGATAGACCCCTAGGGGTTCCCCAGTATCTTTTTTGGAGGTTCATGAGATCTAAATTATTTTCATAATAGACTAACATATTATTTGACATTTTCACTACGATTGTTATTTCAAGAAAAGCTGCACCAGCCACTTTTTACATGGAACATGACTTTTACTCGAAAGAATGATTGACAAACTATGATAGTGATATTAATGGTATTTAATTAAAAATTGATACCAAAATGAAATGTATATTGTATAACAAAATATATCAGTATTTGGCGAATCTGCATAATGCAGCAAATTTTTCTAATGACCATCAAATGATGTTCAAAATCATGCATGGGTAAACTATCCACTCAAAGTGCAAGATCAATGGATATTAATATAATTGAGTATAAAAAATTCATTGACATGTTTTTGATATTTCATTGCTGACAGCTTTCAAATGCCACCCTTCCGTCTTCTTGCCCCAAAGAGGTAAACTGATAAGAAAGCCTACACACTTCCTCCTTTACACCGGGGAAGTTTAAACCACACAACCTCTGGCCCATATTTGAGGTCTCTCATCCAAGTCCCACCGCATAACCACAATGAAAGGCAAAGCTGATTGCCTCTCCTTGTACTCACAAGTCAAGAGGGTATCTGCTCAAGAGCCTGCCCTACTCTCCCCAGACAGTCTCATCATGTGAGGAGTAAATTTTCATCGTGCCCTCTTGATGCATCTGCGGCATCTTATATCTCAACATCCAAATCAAATTTGGAGTGAGGAGTTGACCACACTCCCTGCAGGGCAATCACAAGACACATATTACAATCAACATTTCAGGAACTACCACTTGTTGAGATTTGATATGTTATCGAAGAAAAATTCCACAATTATCTATAAAGCCTATTAAAATATGCCTCCCTTTCCAACTGCATATCTGTTTGATGCAAGATTTTCTTTACAGTTTTCAACCAAAAACACATAAAGCAACAGACTAAATGTAAAAATGAGAATCTGTCTTCTTTTAACTCAGACACAAAAGAAAATTTACAAAACTCTAAGACAATATCACTCTTGGTCCTAAATTTTTTTGTTTTGGAAAATAGTTACTGTTTGTAAAAAGCTCTTATTTATGATACCATACAATAAATTTATTATTGCTGTTTTAATTGAATTAACGAATAAAAATTTTCACAGTTTAAATTTCTAATATGGCAAACATTGATACTTACAACTCACAAAAAGAAAAGCTCAATGGACTCCTCAGTAATTTTTAAGAGTGCAAAGGGAACTTGAGACCAAAAAGCTTGAGAAACTCTGCTTTAGGTCTCTACTCAGTTGTCACCTTCTCAGGAAGATCTAACCTGGTCACTATACACAACCCTGGGAACACCTTCCTTGACTCTGGCTTCCCCAGGCCATTTTTCTGCTTCCTTCCCCTCCACAGCACTTCACACCATCTGACATGATGATATGTATTTATTCTCCATCTCCACATCAAGGGAAATAAGTGCAGGAGGCAGGGTTTTTGTCTTTGCACACTGGGCTCCCTACTGCTTAGTAGCCCCAAATCTTGACTCAGAATAGGTGCTCACTGTATATCTGTAAAATGGACAAATAAGGGAACAAATTAAGATGAAACCAATGAATGAATGATAAATGTTAACCTTTCTGTCTTATAAGCCTAGGTGCAAACCAAGCACCTGATGATTTGCAGATGGCAATAATAATTGTCTCTAAGAATGGATTCTTCAAAAAGAGAAGAAAAAACAAGTGTTGGCCAGGATGTGGAGAAAAGGAAACCTCTGTGCATTGTTGGTGGGAGGGTAAACTGGTGAAGCCACTATAGAAAATAGTATGGCATTTCCTCAAAAAATTAAAAATAGACCTGCCATATGATCCAGCAATTCCACTTCTAGGTATTTATCTGAAGAAAATGAAAACACTGACTCAAAAAGATACATGTACCCTCATATCCATTCCAGCATTATTTACAATAGCGAAGATATGGGAACAATCTATGTGTCCATCAACAGATGAATGGATAAAGAAAATACAGTTTATAGATGCACACACACATACACAATGGAATACTACTCAGCCATAAAAAAGAAAAAATTCTTGCCATTTGCAACAACATGGATGGACATTGAGGGCATTATGCTAAGTGAAATAAGTCAGACAGAGAAAGATAAACACCACATGATTTCACTTATATGTGGAATCTACAAAACAAAACCAAGCTCACAAATACAGAGAACAGGTTGGTGGTTTGAAATGGGTGAAGAGGTGGGCAAAATGGGTGAAGGGAGTCAAAAGGGACAAACTTCTGGTTATAAAATAAGTTATGGAGATGTAATGTACAGCATAACAATTATAGTTAATAATACTGTATCACAGATTTGAAAGTTGTTAAAATAGTAGATCTTAAAATTTCTCATCACTAGAAAAAAAATTCTGTAACTATGCATGGTGATGGATGTTAACTAGACTTATTGTGGTGATTGTTTCACAATATATACAAATATCAAACCATTATGCTGTATACCTGAAATTAATATAATGTCGTATGTCAATTATACATCAATTAGGAAAAAAAAGAATGGCTTCTATTAGCAAAGTTTCCTGGAATTATGTGGTGTTCTTTAATATATCTAAGGAACATGGCTGTAAATTGCTTTCTTTATTGTTTACAGTTTTAGAAATCAATCTTCCCAAATACACTTAATTCAAAATATATCATTAATATATTTACTTAATTTTCATTGGTTTAACGCTGGGTAACAGGAGAATGTATTGTGTTTAAGTAAATAATCAGGGAATAGAGCAATATTTACAAATAATAAAACAGTTGCCAAAGTGAAGGAAATACTAAAGTTGTCTTGGAAGTCCAGAAATTTTAATAATATTGCAATCATTTTATCCTCCATTGTGCATCTAATTTACGTGAGCGCTGATAATACTGTTTAACTTCCAAAGCACAAAACTCATAACCATTTCCAAGCATTATCCATCTGTTTTTGAGAGAAGATAAATTCATCCTTCACAAAAATACTGTCATATTTACTCAACTTCTCTGAGGCAGGTGACTTGCCCAGTAATTTGAGTCTCACTGAATCTGTGCCTCAGGCTAATAGTGGCCATTGTTCAGGATTTAGGGCCAAGAATATTTGTTTGTATCAGGAGAGGCATGATTATTAAATAAAATCTAGATTTTAATAAGGGTAAGGAGATCAAAGAAAAATTGTGTTTATTACATGTACAAAAGACTAAGGAAATGCTTCCAGGTGCTTGAGTATGAGTATTGCATTAGGGGAATGAACTGGTTTTGCCGAAAGCCAACAATTTATCCAACTTTTACTTGAACATTTATTAAATTAAAACAACAATTTAAAAAATTTATTTGTGGGGCTGGCCCCATGGCCAAGTGGTTCAGTTCATGCGCTCCACTTTGGTGGCCTAGGGTTGGCCAGTTCGGATCCTAAGTGTGGACCTACGCACTGCTCATCAAGCCATGCTGTGGCAGTGTCCCACACAGAGAAACCAGAAGGACTTACAACTAGAAGATACAACTATGCACTGGGACTTTGGGGAGGGAAAAAAAAGAAGGCTGGCAGCAGATGATAGCTCAGGGCCAATCTTCTTCACCAAAAAGCATACCTTAAAAAAAAATCCACTTGTTTTACTAGTGAAATCGACCTCAATTCAACCACAATTGACCCCTATCTTCACCTCCACACTGCCTGCTTCTAGCAAGCTAAGCTTCTTATCATCTTCATCAGGGGATTCAGCAGCTGCCACATGAGGCCCTGCATTGGTCATAGTCTGGGGTTGGTTTGCACCCCAGGAAGAAACAAATACAAGCTTGATAATTAAGTTAGGGGTTTCTTTGTTTTAAATCTGACTGCTAGCAGGTTTTCACATCTGCTCTCCTGACAAACTGCGTTTGTGTTTTCTGATTGACTTCTCTTTGATTTCTGGCACATGTGCACAAACCAGTTGCTTAATTGTATGTGCGCCTTCTAACCCCCGGCTCTAGCCAGGATTTGGACACCCCTGAGCCCAGCGGCATTCATTCAGCTATTCGCCTTAGTCCTTCCGGTAACGGCCTCTACGATTTACAACCATGTAAAGTCCCTACAAATCGATTGCGTGAGAAGATTAATTGGAGAGCTATTTATAAAAATATAAGCTTTACCAAAACAACCAATGCTCTCCACAGTCATCTTATTTTATACATGGGTTTCTTTTCTCATTTGCCAATATGTCTCCAAAATCATGCCTACATTCTCTGCATATTAAATAATTATAAAACTCAGGAGTTCCCTTTTAGTCAAAGTCACACAGAGTGTTCTTCTCAGTCATATTTAAGTAGAACAGGAATAATATTATAAGTCAATCAGCTTCGCATATTAAAATGGAATCCAAATTGATGTCTGCACTGGAGACAGAAGTGTTAACAAAGCTATGATTGCAAATTTTCTAGCTTTCCATTTTTTTATCTGCTAAGTGTTTGAAATCATACCCTAGCAACCCTTTCTGGATGAAAATCCTTTTTCTTCTTGATTTGTAAAGATCATTTTATTATCTAGGCATTTATATGCGGAGAGCATTTTTTCGCTTCATTAAAATAAACACCAAGCTAACCCTGGAATCAAAACCTGCTTTCAAAGTTACCTACTTGGTTGTTCCAAAGTAAATCAGCTTTTAATTAGTCAAGATATTTATATTATGTACTGCTGTTTCAGATCCTTCGCTTGAAAACATGAATCAAAAACAAAGAGAAATGCTAAGGTTGCTCCCTGATTTCAAAAGAGAGAACTCTTTAGAAGTTTGATTTGTGCAGTACGGTGAAGCAGAAAGAGACCTAATCTAACCCTCAGTTAATCAGAATTGGAATTGTATGTCTCCCTGGTTAACACATGGAGACCAGAGTCATGGGTCTTGCGCATGAGTTCTCTCTGTGCCTCTGACTATGTTCATAGGACAGTTACTTGAAATACAGTGTGCTTCAGTTCCCTCATCTGTAAAATAAGAATAATAACTTGTGCTCGATCTACCTTATACAGTTGTTAGGACACTCAAACTATATACTGTGCGAGTAAGGAATTGTCATATTTTAAAGCATTAACAGATATTAGTCAGCATTATTGTTCTCCCCAGTTAGGCCAATAAAGGTAAGATTGTGAGCAAATTGTCAAGCAGGCCTCATTCTACTTTTCACACAATTCAATTAAGGGATCGAAAGAGGTGATTTTATCTACTTTTTAAACTCTAGGCTTTCATTGTTAATTCAGTGACGTAAGCCCTTGCTTCCTTTGATCAGAATTTTATTTCCTGAGTCTTCAAAAGTTTTGAGTAAAGACAATATTCACATTAATTACAAAGAATTTACACGACTAAAAAGATTACCTGATATATTTCGGGCTTCGATTCAACTTCTTGGAAAGATATTTCAAAGATTTTAGACTTGGAAAAGTGGAATAAGAAATAGTAGCAGGGTATCCTGTCTCTTCACAGGGAACAGGGCAGCTAGAATTATGTGTCCCCATTGTACACAGTCCCTGAACTTCAATGTGGTCTGGAACGAAAAGCAGGACAGGAGACTCAGACAAGAGGACTATTTCACAGTGGGAAGGACAGAGCTCTTTAAAATTTTATCATTTTGCTTTCAGGGCTAAAAAAAGTGGTTAACAAGTTCTATCACTACTTTCTTAACAAGTGGTGATTATATTTTATTTCTATTTTAGTATAAGTACAGCAAAGGAGACAGAATATAAAACATAGTTGCTATGCTGCATTCATTGAGTCACTGGATTCAGATCTTTGTTGGAAATAAGAAATTCTTTCCAGAGAGTCTCTGGGCCTATTTCCAAAAACTATCAGACATTTGGGCAGAAGAAAGATGCAAAGTTGTTCGTGTGACCTTGTGTCACTTTGAGAGGAACTTTTAAATGTAATCCTGAAAGCCAATGACTCAAGTTTAAACTAAACGTATCCTTGGGGTTATCTCAGTTTATAAAGGTGTGAAACATGCTGCTGGAAGTTTAGAGCGTTTTATTTCCCTGGACCCCAGGGACTTCTAAATCAGCCTCCTAGGTCCTGTCCCCTGTTCTCTCTTGGCCCCTGTAGAGCAACCGGGCTCTCCATGCAAATGCGTCCTGGAGAAGTCCCTGCAGGAGGTGACATGTGCTTCCAGCTTTCCTTTGGACCATCTCCCAGTGTCTGATCTCAGCGCTCCTCACTCTGGGTAGATATTCTGGTTCTTGCTTTCCCCACGATTTTGTTCCTGAAACTCTTTGCTCTTGTGACCCTTTGTTCACCAAGACCCACTAATAATGACTAACTTTGGGCTTGTTTTCCAGACTAACTTTGCTACTTCTCAGGGCGTGACTTCAGCACACATCCCTTAGTTCTTTAAGACTACTGGCAATAAACACCACACTTGCCTTATACTCACACATACGTGTACACTCACACACATACACTCTTTTATATTCACACACTCACACACTTACACATTCCCATACACACACCCACAACAAACACACTTCTGACCCCTTATCCCACAACAGTCCTTGAAGAACTGCATGCATGATTCACTTCCCCAAGCTCCCCCCAGCCCCCATCAAGGATAGAAAACCACAAGAAATTCGGCAACATAACTGCAACTCCAATGGTCAGTAATGAGACCTCTGCACAAGGCATACCTCAGAGATATTGTGGGTTTGGTTCCAGACCACTGCAATAAAGAGAGTATCGCAATAAAGCGATTTACGTGAATTTTTTCGGTTTCTCAGTGCACACACGTTTGTTTACAGTATACTGGATGTCTATTAAGTGTGCAATAGCATTATGTCGAAAAAAAACGATGTACATATCTTCATTTAAAAATACTTTACTGCTAAAAAATGCAAATGTTGTTGGAAAGATGGCACTGATAGTCTTGCTTGACTCAAGGTTGCCACAAACCTTCAATTTGTAAAAGACGCAATTTCTGTGAAATGCAATAAAGTGAAGCACAATAAAACAAGGTATGCCTGTATTCAGCTTGTAAGCTATTAAAAAAATATAAGATCTCTTCTACCCATACCCAGACCATGAAATATTTTACAACCATTATAAAGAAACTGTTAAATCTACTCCTGCTGTCCTGGAGATAGTTCCAGAATGGGTTAGAAAAGCAAGTTTCATAGAAGGGTATATAATGTGATGCCATTTTAATAACAATAGGTGACTTAAAGTCATGACTATGAAGCTATATATGTGGAGAAAATGATTGTAGAATATACTAGATTGCTAACGTTGGTTGGGGGTTAAGACAAGAGATAAGTAAGCAAAAAAAAATGCTGTTTAAGAAGTGTCCCCAGTAAATATAGCATGTATGACTGTGATTCTATTTCTGTAAAAATTTTATATCTGTATTTATATATAGTATATGTATAATGAAACGAATGAATGAAAGGATGGCCACCTAAATCATGACAGTAACTCTCAAAGTGATGAAACTTCTGCTGACTTTCCAATGATTCTTTTCTATTCTGTGATGTTTGAACTAATCACAAGCATGCTTTATGTATACGAAAAAACAACAAAGCTATTTTGATTGTAAAAAATGTATAAAAGTTTTTTTTAAAAAACATAAAAATTTAGAAATAAAACCCAGACCTTTCTTGCTGTTACTTTGTCACTGCATATGTTTAATTCAGATGCATCTTGAAATTAAAGGAGTTTTTGTTTTACTGTCTATGTCTATGTAAGCTACTGTTCTTAATTTTAAAAACATTGAAAAACTTCCTCTTATAGTCTCTATTCTGTTTCATTTCTGGACTCTCCATAATATGGTTTAATGTCTTGTATTACTTTGAGCAACTTTCATATAAATCCTGAAAATAAGGAAATAAATTAAGCCACTTACCAAGTGTAGGAGAAACACAGTTGTAAAACTTTTGTAGGTTACACTCTGTCCCATTTCCTTAAAAATAATAAGTGTAAATATAGAGATTTTACATGAATGAAATGTGACACACTCACAAAAATACCTTTATTACAATCATCCATCTGTCTGTACATTTATTCTTTTGCAAAAACCGTATGAAAACATGCTATTCCCCAATGAAAATATACGTTAGGAGGAAGAATAATAATGTTTTTGTTTATTTATATCTGTCTATATCATTCTAAAATCTTTTAAGTGGTAATAACAATTTTAAAATGTTGTTATCTTTTGAAATTTAAAATTACTTTCATATTTATCACCTCATTTGTTCCTACCCTAATCCTGTGATGTGGGAATCGTCATTTTACAAATGAAGAAATTGAGGCTCAGAAAGTGGCTTGCTGGAGCAGTTTGGGAGGCCTCGGCTCATTCTGTTCACTTTCTATCCTCCTCTCTCTATCCATTGCTTTAAACACATAGATATATTCACACCCTCACACACCTGGTGGGCTGCCCTTTCTAACAGTAGGATGGGGCAGGTAAGCACCAAGATTCGTTAAGCACTAGCTATGGACCTTCAGACAAATTTAGGATCAATATTTAACAGAGCTGGTGTTAATCCCAGGCTGATTCGAAAGCATTAGCCTCTGCACCTTAATACAGTATTGGTCTGTTGCTATAACCCATGGGATCCTGGGATTTGCCTCAATGTTTAGTCAATGGTCCTGAAAATAACCAAAAGAGAATGTCCCTTTACAATTTGTGGAAAAGTTTGGCTAACTAGGAGGGAATGCTCTTTGTGAAGCGACTGAAAGAAGCAAAAAAAGAAAAAAAAATCCTCCTCCAACGTTAAATGAACAAACAGCCTGTCTTTTCTAAAGCGTGCCTTACTTGGTGCAATGATATTTTTCCCATTACAAAGAACAATAAAATTTTGGAAAGAGTTCCTATCTGCAAAGCTGATTTGGGGGATTGCCTCTGTAAAATTGTTAGTGGAGGCACTTTAGCTCCTTCCCTTAGTGTCTCCAGATCTCACTTTCCTCACCTCTGAGCAGACTTAGAGGGATATGTGAGTATCAAACCAAGTAAGACATGATCCTGAAGGCACTTCCAGCCTGAAATTCATGCACATGTCATGGTTTGTCTTTTATATTTCATCTTACCTGGTTTCTGGTCCATATTAGTTATTCAGTTGTAAGAAGTAATACATTTTTAAATTATAAACATTATTTTCCATCTATCAATTCAGACTTTTTTCCAGTAACTTTGGAAAGATAATGAGGAAGGACAAATCAGACCCAGAGATAGTAGCTTTACAGAATGGCAGCTTTGGAGGGGCCAGAGACCAATAATCAGAATTCTAGAAAGAAAAAAGTGATGATTCTCAAAATTCCTGAGACATAGTTTGCCAAGTAGAGAGAGTTGTTATAAAGGCAGAGGTAGCATTAGTATATCTATGTGTGAAAGGTAGTGTAGTGTTGTGTGCAAGGGACCATAGTGGCAAATTTACACAGCCAAACTGGTTTGCCTTTAATACACTCTACATTTCTTTATAAATATGCTGGAGAAGAGGGAATGAAGGAAATCTGAATAAAAATATCCAACACTTAGAAAATATTTTACGTATTTTGCCCCAGGTACTTTTTTTTTTGTGGTGAGGAAGGTTCATCCTGAGCTAACATCTATTGCTAATCTTCGTCTATTTTGTATGGGGGATGCCTGCGCAGCACGGCTGATGAGTGGAGTAGGTCCACTCTAGGGAACTGTGCCCATGAACCCAGGCCACCCGAGAGCGAGCACAGGGAACTTGAACCACTCCGCCATGGGCCGGCCCCAGGCACTTTTTAAACCACTTGCTCCTTTCATCCTGGTGACAACCCCATAAGGTAGTACACTATTCTCCCCGTTCCACAGGAGGTACAGAGAGGTTAAGTCCAAGGCCACATAGACGAGAAATTGTGGAGCTGAGACGAGCAGCCTGGGTCAGCGTCCGGCTTTTACCCACCCTGCTGTGCTGCCTCCTTTCATGTTTGTCTCAGCTACCCCCGGCTCTGGAAATGATTCGAGTTGTGTGGAAAGGGAGCCTGGAGTCTCATTTCTAGCCACAAAGCAAAGAATTTCCAAATAATGAAATCTACATAGTCAGATTTGTATAGATGGTCTAATTTTTGTTTCAAATTAGAAAACCACGATGAACAGGTTTAGATATTTGAGAGCACGCAATTTTACATTTTGAAAATAAGAATTGGGGACTAGCCCTGAGAACACAGTTTTATTTTCCTTTCCAGAAATCTCTGACATGATTCCATGATTTGATATCTATCAGTCGAGATTGTGTTTGTCTAGTGGTTGACTTTCCTACGGGGAATTTGATAGGAATGGAAAACAATTTTATGATATTCTGATTTCCTATGTTTCAAATTAAGTAAATATAACTAAATGAGGGGAAAGCTGTCATTCTTTATTTACCAGGAAGAAGAAAAGGTAAACATCCACATTGCTTTTCTATGTGCTGTGCTTTGCATTCCTTCAAGCAACCAGACGTGCTGTAGGTACTAAAATTCTGCAGCTTCATGTTAGGGTTGCATTCTCCCCAAGGGTATTCTTGATGAACTCTCTTAAGATAAAATAAACGCTGGGTTCAGGAGATTTATCTGAGTCAATCTACCCCCAAAAGAGAGGCTGGTAGATGATTTTACTTTTCTCTGAGAGCTCTTGGATTCTTTTTTTTTTTTTTTAGTTGACTACACTTGCTTATTTTGCCTACTCTATTGACCTGAAAATCTCTGAAAATCTCTGTTATAGTGGTCCTTTAATATATGTCCCAATGCTCTGTACCTGTAGTGAATCAATAAAATCAGACAAAGTGCTCTGAAAATTAACTGATCTGAGGAAAAATAATATGATTTATGGAAACGTGTTAGCATATCAATCAGCCCACTCACAAAACAGCAACTAAAATCACCAAAAAAGACTCTTTATTGAGCAACGATTATGTGCCAGGCAATATGATAAGTGCTTTCTTTATATTATTTCACTTAAACGTCATAATAACTATGAAAAAGAAATATTATCCCTCTCCCTCAGTGCAGAGAGGAGATGGGAACTTAGCAAGCTAACTAAGAAAATTGCAGAGCAAGTGGCTGGCAAATGGAAGTCTGCCAGACACGTCTAATTCCAAGATTCCTACTCTCCCCACTTATTTTTCCCCTCTCTGGAACATCCCGTAGAGAAAACATACAATTGTGTCTCCTCATACTTGTTGACACTTCCCAACTCTAAGGCACTTAAAGTTACCTTGGATTTGCTAGGCTTGCCAACTTTCAGTTACATTGTATGTGTGAATTCACTGTTTTTACTAAATATATGCATCCTAGTAAAGGAGAAGAATCTGAAATGAAACTGCGGAATGCCCGGGATGTTCTAAGGGCATGGGAGAAAGAAGTTTCTAGTGAAAAGTATTATTTACGTATAAATCCATTTACTACCCCACCGAATTCCCTCACTCTACATTTTGCCAATATTTACCTTCACTTGGCGGATTGCTACCCGTGCATGCATTCCCACAGGGGACAACAAGCCTAAACCATCAAACTGTGGCACCTTCTTTGGTGAATGGATGACAAAGATGACCCCAGCATCAACAAAACCAAGGGCTGGGTCATCAGTGAATTTCGCCTGTAACAAAAATCCCATTTTTACCAAATTACAAAAAGATAATTCTGCACGTTTAAGATTTCATTTCATCTCATGACAGCACTTGACTTACTTAAAGTCAAATATTTCATATCAGTATTCAATCCCTTTTTATATAAATGCTGTGAAAATTAAACACCTAAGACATACTTGCCACGGTTGAATCACATTTGAAGGCCTTGGCAGTTTTCTGGAGATCACTGCGCCTTACACGAAGGCCGTAGTACGTGTTATGACTGTTAATCAGTCGATTTCATCTGGCTCTCTCCTTACCTTCTAGTTGCTTCCTCCTTGGCTGTTCTCTTTGCTTCACTTGTTTTAGAAAATCGTTTGGCCCTTTTCTCCTCTTTGCAATTAAAATCTCCAGCCTTATTTAAAATTCAAATTCATTTTCCCAGAACAGTAAAGACTTAAGCACTATTTATTTAACACCAGCGCTCTTCTTCCATAAATCTATGTCAGATGAAGACAGTTAAGACTAAACTTCTGGTGATTTCGTTATTAGTTGTCATTTCAGGCTATAAGGAGAAGGAATGGACTCAGAATATGATGAATTTTTCCGTGAATGGGTCCACTGCATATGTAATTACATTTAATAAACATCCTTAATATTCCACTTGTAACTCAAGACCCTGTTTCTCCTGGATTTATTATGACTCTAAGAAATACTTAACTGGTTAGTCTGGAGAAATATTTAAGTGCCATTTACTTATGAAATGTTGCATTGAATTTGAAGGTGTTAATTGTATTCTAAAAATATTTGGGAAATTCTAGGTTGTAAAATTCATAATATAATATTTGAGCTGACCATATGGCTAATACTTGAATGATTCGAAAATATTTATAGAATACATATGCAAGCATGGGGACAAGCAGTGCACTGTGCAGTGCTATATTGGAACACATCTGAAGAGAAATTCTTCGAAATATCCGATGGCCTCAGTCAGCTGGATTGGGAGGTGGAATAGTTTGATAGACTTTGGGGAGAGTAGGTTTATTTCTCAATTTTGCCATTGATTGTGTGGTTTTGGATACTTAATTCATCAGCATTTCAGAATCTTCATTTATAAAACGACAATAATTGAGACGAATCTCTCCAAATGTGTAATATTAGAAACAGTTGTGCAAGACAGACATGAGAATTAACCTCGGGTGGGAGCTATACCAGATACCCTTGAAGGTACAACCCTTGCACTTCTTAGGTGTCTCAACATCTTCCTCCCAGACGTAAATACAGACTTTTTGGACTAGTTACAAATTTACAAAAGCTAGTCTTAGGCAAAGTCTTTTTACACAATGTTCTTTACACAGCACTTATTTTTTTAATCACCTTTTCAGACTATAGAGTCTATGGTTTATCAAATGTGTATGTATGGCTTCTTTCTAAAACATATTGCCTTATTTACATGAAAATCTATCTAAAAATTATTTTTAAAATACATAAAGTCATCTTAAATTAACTATATACATTGTGATTTAGAAACCTCCAGTTTCCTCATTTTGTGGCATGAACATTTCCAAAGTCACAATAATGTTAGTCAGTAGGATAGCTAAAAATATCCAGGTTATGCCTCTAAATTTTGTCTTTTTAATCTCTAAGTCAGTAGTTGCATCCATGAGATTCTAGGCTAAATTGACAAAAACCGAAATAATACCCAATTTGTGGAATTTGAAGTTTGACCTCTTTGCCACTATATTCTGTTGCTGTATTGACGTTAAATCATAAAAATAAAACAAAACACAGGAAATCACATTAACATTCTGTGATGCTGTCTAACATATGAACGGCCTTCTGTATTTATTCTCTTCATGAAAGCCAGGGAACAATTTGACAGGACAAAATATTTTAATCAAATCTTTTGAAAACCCTGCCCATTCTGGTTTGTCTTGAATCCTGTCTAAATTTAAGAAAATTCAATACCTGATTGACATTGAAGAGCAAGTTTAAGCCTCTTCCAGAGACACTCACTTTGTTCTTTGCTTGTATATTTTCACCATGATTAAAAGTGAAACAATTTCCATATTCAGTGAAGATATGCGCAAAATCCTCCAGTATGAAAAGGAACCAAATAAAACACAATCAGTTGGGTGTTTTAATCACTTTTGAAGTTCAAATTGCTATAACTTTTTTGTTTTAATCACAGATGTCTAAATGAGAATGCATAAATAGCAGAAAGAATAGAAAATCTGGTGGTTCTGGTTTGTATTCAATGATAGTTTTCATTTTTTTGTAATAAGCATTTGTCAATTTGTATGTGATCATCTAACTGAGACATTTTAAGGTACAAATAAGCATGTTTTTAAAGTATTTTAAAAGTAATTTATTTTATACTTACTAAGGCTTCATGGAAACATATATTTTTACGTATGGGGAACTCTCTCAGCATCCTCTCTTTGCGCAGCCACTCCTTTCCCACCCTGCATGGTCACCGTTGGGCAGCCAGTCACGTTACTTTGCTCCTTTATCCCTTCTCTTCCAACCACCCACACTACGGAGGTGCATGTGACATAAACTGGGCCAATCTTAATACCCTACTCCCTCTCCTCAGTGATTGGTTCAGAAATTGATGTGTGTCCCAAGTAGAGCTAATCAGAGTCTTCCATGGGATTTTTAAGTGGATACTGGAGTATTAACCAGTGATAATGAGAGGCTAGGGTTCTCAGCAGCCCTGTTGGCTCCGTGTAGGGAGAACTCATACAGAAAGAAGCCAACCTGAGTCATGAGATGGAAAGAGAAACAGAAAATTAATAATGGTCTCAGAGTTCCTTGGTTGAGCTTTGGCTCAGGTTGAGCTACTGGCTTCAGAGCCAGTCCTACTCTTAGAGTTCCCCGTTAATTGAACGAATTCATTTCTTTTACTCTTTAGCTTACCGAAGTTGAGTGTCTGTAATTTGCAACTGAAAAATTCATATCTAATACAGAATTTCTTGGTGATGAGTTTAAATATATAGGTCAATAAAAAGTGACATAAAAAATCTTTTCTAAATTAAGAGTTTAGAGTAGGGCTTCGTCTCTGTCACATGTCTCTCAGGCTTTTCTTTTCTGTTTACTGTGCACTAAGAGAGGCTACCAAAATGTTAAGGAATTGTATCGCAGATCTATGAATTCGTGAAGTTTACTTGGAATCCCTAACCACATATGCTGAAAAACTCCTCAGACAAGAAATAGCAGGTCAAGGTGAATACATATTCCTTCACCAATAGATTCAGATATATCCAACACTTTATTTTAAATGTGGATTAATTTTATAAACAATGAAAGCAGGATGTTGTGAGTGATGAGAGAAATATATATAATTTTCATAGTCAAATACTGGGCCCCTCTTATCCTCTGTAGCCTCTAATGTGATACCACAAGCAAAGAACTAGAATTTTGGCTGCTTAATGATAATAAAAATGCTATCTTGGGATATACTGTTTATTGATGAATGGAAAACATCAAAAAATACACAAAATATCCTGTTGTGTTAAAATAGCTTTTCTTTTGGAAGGATTATCCTGCAAGAAAGATATTCAAAGGTTTGTATTTTCTGTCTTTTCTTATATAACTACTTGAAAAGGAAAAATGCCTCATTTCACACCTCTGATATTATAAGGCTGAGCTAATGAAATATAATCTTTGAGCAAATTTAGATTGATTCCTCATGAGAGTAAATTTTATCTCAGTGTGAAACAGTACAATGAAGCAGCTTATTATATTGATGATATTTGAAGAAATATCAAAATCATTACCTGTGGGCCACATGGCTTTCCAAAAAAGTCACAGTCCAACAAAGTGCTGTTGTTGAGATAAAAACCATGTTTCTTGACGAACTCTGTAATGCTAAAGTTTTGGTGACTTGCAAGAAAATCGATAGCCTCTTTAGAACCGGTGGAATTGGCATTGATTTCCTGAAGATGGAGGACTTTGGATACAACATTCCATAAGAAAAAAATAACACCAAATTTGGCTGCAGCCTCTGTTTGGAACCTATTAGTAGGAATAAAAGTAGTTGTAGAATAATAAAAACTTGTCATTATCCAGAGGTCAGAGACCAAACATCTGGACCCTCTCAGCTTTTCCAGCTCATCTCGTATACTCTCCCTCATTCATAATACATTAAAGCAAAATTGGATTCCTAAGAGATCTTTGTCACTTCCTGCAATTTACCTTGTAATTGTACATAAGTTTCATATATCTAGAATAGCTCCCAGACCTTGCTCTGGATACATCTTAATGGATCTTTAAGACCAAACATAGAGGTGGGAATGCATAGTTATTAAGAATATAGACTTAGGAGCCAGACTTCCTGGGTTCAAATCCCAGCTGTGCCATTGTTGTGGCTTTGTACTGCATCTGCCTGGTTATGCTGGAACTATAATTCCCAACATCTCCTTCCTTGTATGTATCTGATTACAATCCGAAGTTCATTGTAAGACAAGAGCTATGGTCACTCACATACACTGTGCTTGATTTCTTGACTCAACTTTGTATGGGGCAATAGCCAGGACTATAGCTCCTCCAGCTCCTGTCTAATGCCTTCCTTCATCTCCTTCAAACACTGGGTCAAGCAAGACTGCGACGTGGAGAAGGTCCAACTTACCCTGCAGGTCACCAGCACCATCAAGATTGGTGGAAGTGAAAAAGAGAAACACACATTTCCACTTGTATTTGCTTCCTTCACTTCAAATCCACCTTCCTTTCTGATTGCTGATTTCAGGCCCAGAACCAGAAATAGAGGCAACAGACTTACGAAGACTACTTAAGCAGCCCCTGTAATTTAGTGAGGCTCAATCTTTATAATAAATCCCTTATTCTCTGTCGCTCACAGTGGTTCCATTTCTCCAGTCGAGCCCTGAATGTCATGGCCACTTAATGGTGCCACTTAGCAAATTTCTTCATCTCCCTGTGACTAAAGTTTCCTCACTTGCAAAACTGGTAATGTTAATATAACCTACCTCAAAATGTTATTTTGATGATTAAGTTATTTTTTCTAAAACATTTAGAAGGGTGCCTGGAATATAGTGAGTGTTAGGTAAATATTCATTAAATAAATGCCTCCTTATTGTCAGAATATTTTCCTGGCAATCAAAGCAGGAGTAATCTATTTGCCCTAACTACTGTGAGTACTTTGTAATTCTTGTATTTTGCTGAGCAATCTCTGCCTTGCATTATGTATGGCTTTTTATGTGCGTACCTTACGTTTCTTTCAAAATGTGATTAGTATTTTCATATTTTGGACATTACAAACCTTAAGACTGAACAAACTTTCTCTCTTCAAATGGAATGCTATGAAGCATAGAATGAAATGTGTATCCACTCTTGGTAAGTGTCCAGGGCCATGTGGTACATGGTTTGTACATAACCTCTCTCCTGGACTTCCTGTATGTCCCAGATTTTGTATTTTATTTTCACTTTCCTTTATATTATCATTCATGTACATTTTCTTTCTCATACAAGCCACATTAAACCCATTCTGGGTCAAGGTAGAGCATACACACAACAAAAAATGAGAAAAAAAAACCGAAACCAGCATCATATCCTCTTTCAGAGGTGAGAAACTGTTTTCACGATCAGCTCCTAATATAATACCTTACTTAACCAGCTCTGAGCCTTGCAAGGCCTGTCGTCAAACCATGAGCCCAGGTTTTAGAAACATATAAATATCCTCCTTCAACTGCTCCTTTCTTTAGAGAAACTATTAAGCTTTTTATCATGGTGTGTTCTACTAACTACAGTATATCTAACGACCTTCATTTTCTTCGTCAAAAGTGTTTTAAGTGATCTTTAGAGGAGTTAATAGTCTACATTAGCAGCAGATTTGGGGGAGAAGAATGATGCTAGCCTTAAATTGAAGGATGGATCTTTAACTTTCTTCAGCTTCCTAACTCCCTGAATGACTGACAGGGTGCCAAGGATCTGCTCCAACACTCTGCAGCTTTGGGACCCCACACAGACTCAGAGTCAGTGCTGCCTCGCACCATGCTCGCTCGATTCTTCTCAAAATGATTATGCAGAGAAATGGAAACATTATCACATGTGTAGGAGGTCTGAATACAATAGATAAAAAGGTTAAAGGGAAGGGCATTTTAAAATATTCTTTTAAAACTTTTATTATTTAAGAATAATAGTTGAGACCATGAGGGTAATTAAGGTAGATAAATTAAATTTAATGAATAGAGTCTAACAATATTTGGAACAAAGGAAGTGACAAATTTTGTGAGACGTATTGTTCAGTATAAAACCAAAGTGTTTTGCTCTGGGTTAATTCAAACTTCAAAACGCTTCCAATAACCCTTCTTTTTTTTTTCAGAAACTTGCTTGATTAAAGCTTGCCCTACTCTTTTATTTAACATATACTGGTAAGAGACAAGTAAAAGAAGATAATAAAAATACATTGATTTGTTTAAAAAATTTAATAACCGATAACCAGTTATTAAATCTGTCCTCCTTAAGTAGATTAATGGCTCTAACTACACTTTCCCAAATTATATGACCCAAATGAGCAAGTTTCATTTGGTGCCGAAGTTGACACCTGACTCAGCTCTTCATTGAATCCCATCCAAACAGATCTAAGTCTACCATGTATTTACAAGAAAGGTATATTTTACAGACCATTTTATGGAGATGGAAAATGGCACAGAATGTCTGCTCTTTGGATTTTCCTATGAACCAATTTTAATGTCTTACAATTCATTAATTAATAAAATCCTTGACAAATGTTTGTTTTATATTTCTATGAGTCATGATTTTATCTTTTATTTAAAATCCTTTAACATTTCTTTTTTGCATTTAAACAGTAGATTTTGAAAAAACAAAGAAGCACAGTAATTACTGTAAAGATGAAGAAACAGAACTGGAGTTAGTTGCCATAGAACAATGGATCAAATAATATCAGTACTCACTATATCCAGCCATTATCTCTGATTTTAGTAGAAGAAAACAAATTTCAGAAGTTTTTACCAAATATAATGGAAATTTATGATGAATTTTATGGTGAAGATATTTTAGTGGAAATTTTTGACAGAGATATTTGAAAGTCACTAGGATTGATCCCAAAGAAACAAAGTTATGAAGAGTCCTGCAATTCTCAGAATTTCTTGTGAGACATGATTCTTATAAATCTCTGTCAAGTGTACCCTTAAGAGTTTGTCTTCCTTTGAATAGCCATTTCTTCATGTGAAAGAAACTTGTCAAAATTAAAATTAATAAGTATTCTTCAATCAACTGTGAGCGATGCCGTCTAGCTGTGCTATGAAACACAAATACATAAAGATTAATTTTGACAAAACCATTGACAAATTTACAAAAGGCTGAAAAATGGAAATGACAGTGCTATTATTCATCATCATAACAGATCCAAATTAAAGTCTTTCCTTTTCATTTCAAAAATACATTAATGTTAAAAAGTATTAATGCATTACTTCTTTCCTATTTTCATTAATATTTATTTTACATTTTAGTGGAACAAATACTTATAGGGCATTATTATAATTTGTCTAATTTCATACTTGTAACCAGAAATAATTTTGGCCTAAGGAAGAGGGGAATGTTAAAAAATGATCTACTCTACTGTCGTATACAATGGGTAGGTCCTGATACCCACAATACAAAGTAAACCTTTCCTAATAAGCTGAGGTCCCTCAACAAAGTTCCCTCTTCTCGGGTATCCACTCCTGCTGACAAAGTAGTTTAGCAGAAGGAGTATAGGAATTGGGATCTAACAGCAGACCTCTGTTCCAGTTCCTAACTGTATGATTCCAACTACAGGACATTCTGGGAAAGGCAAAACAAGGAAAACAGTAAAAAGATCAGTGGTTGCCGTGGATTAAGGGAGACGGTGGGATGAATAGGCAGTGCACAGAGGACTTTTAAAGGCAGTGAAAATACTCTGATGACACTAGCATGATGGATACAAGTCATTACACATTTGCTGAAACCCATAGAATGTACACCACCAAGAGTGAATCCTAATGTAAACTATAGACTTTGGATGATGATGTGTCAATTCAGGTTCATTAATTATAATGAATGTACCACTCTGGTGGGAGACGCTGATGATGGGCGATGCTAAGCACATGTGGGAGTAGGGAGTGTATGGGAAATCTTTGTAACTTCTGCTCAAATTGCTGTAAAATCTAAAACTTTTCTAAAAACAGTGAAGCCTATAAAAAATAGTTGAACCAGCAATTAGTGGAGCCAAACACTTGGATGTGATACCAACAGAAGTAGATGGCCTAACAGGGAGATTAGGAAAGAGACATTCAGATAGACCTGCTAAAACAACTACCATCAAAAGATGACTGTACTTGTGCCCAAGATTGTGCCTTCTGGGTGTGACATCAGAGAATTCACACCACATGGAGTGGGTGGAGGAGACGAACAGAGTTTGCCAGAATAGTCCATCCAAGTCATTAAGAAAATTTAAAAAATCAAAAAACAACAACATTCCAGAGGAGGGGATTAGTATAGTGGTGGAATAGTGTCTCGCCAAATTTCATATCTACTCAGAAACTCAGAGTGACCTTATTTGAAAACAAAGTCATTGCAGATGTAAGTAGTTAAAATGAGATTATACTGCATTAGAGTGAGTCCTAAATCCAATGACTAGTGTCCCTATAAGGAGAGGAGAGGACACACAGAGATACAGAAGGAGAAAGCAGAATTTGGCATTATTCTGCCACAAACTGAGGAATATTTGAGGTTGCTAGAATCTAGGAAAAGCAAGGAAGTCTTCTCCAGAGACTTTGGATGGAGCATAGGCCTGCTGACACCTTGATTTCAGACATCTGGCCTACTGAACTGTGAATGAACAAATTTCTGTTGTTTTAAGACAGTAAGTTTATGGAAATTTTTTTATGGTAGCCCTAGTAAACTAAAACAATTGGTATCCAGACTTGCTACTGTATATTACATAAAATATAAAATTTTCAACAAAAAAATTAGGATACATCAAGTAAAAAGAAATTATGACTCCAACACAGAAAAAA